TATAATATCTGCAAAAACTTTACATGGTAGGTACTATTATTATTCCCATTTGAGGCATGAGAAAACTGTGGCTTAGAGATTAAGTACTCAGAGTTCTATACAGGTTGAGCATCTGAAAATCTGAAAACTAAAATGTTCCAAAATCCAAAACCTTCTAAGCACTGACATAATGCCACCAGTGGAAAATTCCACAACTAACCTCACATGACAGGTTGCAGTTTGATGATGGTTCAGTGCACACAAACTTTTTCATACACAAAATTAGTTAAAAGAGTGTATAAAATTACCTACAGGCTATGTGTATATAAGGTGTGTATGAAACATAAATGGATTTTGTGTTTAGGCTTGGATCCCATCCCCAAGATATCTCATTATGTATATACAAATATTCCTGAATCCCTAATCCAAAACACTTCTGGGTCCAAGCATTTAATGTAAGGAATATGCAACCTGTAAACAATATAACCAGGATTTAAATTCTGTCTATAAAAGCATAACTAAGGCACTATACTGGCCCTTTAAACAAATATTTCTACATTTAAATAAATTTTTTTAAAAAATTATATTTGCCTTCTTTGAACCCAAGGGGCAAGGCCTTCAAAATTGCATAACTCAACAATTTTTCTTCTGCAGGACTATAAATTATCACTGGTAAGTAGCTCAAGAGGCAAGAGGAGTTTCAACAGATTTTAGCAAAGACAAGAAGAGCAGTTTAAAGTTCCATATTTATTTTGGGGGGAGGGGTCCATACCTATTTGGAAGCAGGCCAGGGATGAGGGGGAGGCCAGCTTGGGGCTGGGCTGAAGAGAGAGATGGGCTCAGTTTATCTGGGTAAGCATTGAGAAGTATACCACCTGGCAGACAGGGTGTAGGACAAAGTGTGGGGTGAATTGCAGAGTAAGACCTTTAAAGGTGGAGCCTGAGCACACAGCTGGAGACCAAGGAGGAGAAAAGGGAAGCACTAGTAAAAGGAGAACTTAGTACCCGGCACTGTATGACTCAATAGAATAGATGTAGATGTAACTTAGCTATGTACTTAAACTTTCAGTTACGTATTTGTGTAAAGTTAAAACTTGCACTCTTTTTTTTTTTTTTTGAGTTGGAGTCTCACTTTGTTGCCCAGGCTGGAACACAGTGGCACACTCAAGGCCACCACAGCTTCAACCTGTTGTGCTCAGGTGATCCTTCTGCCTCAGCCTTCCAAGTAGCTGGAACGAACTACAGGTGTGTGCCACCACGCCCAGCTAATTTTTTAGTTTATTGTTGAGCTGAGTTCTCACCATGTTGCCCAGGCTGGTCTTGGGCTACTGAGCTCAGGCAATCCTCTGGTCTCTGTCTTCCAAAGTTTGGGATGTGTGAGCCACTACACCCAGCCGAAACTTGTTAATTTGATAACAAATTATCTGAATCAATTAAACCAAAGTCATTATTGTCTGGGAAACTAAATATTGGCTATTATGAAGATCTTAATTATTTTGATATATGAAATGTGCAATGTTATTTTTATGCAGGGTTATATTTGGAATTTCCCCACATTTAATATTTGGTAAAATAACATTATAAAAACTGATTTATTATAAGAACATATTTTATTGTAAAAATAAATTTTAAAATTGCCTAAACTTTTAAAAATTATTTATAGATCATTATTGCCATCTGCTGGTGATATAGTTTAATTGCATTTTTAATAATACTGATTACTAAAAAAACAGGGAAAACAAGCAAGTTTTAGAAATATTACTGGATTAGAGATCTCTATGTAGGAAAAAGCTAAATCATGAGGCATTTCCATGTCAAAGAAGATATATAATGCAACAATATATAACAATTTATCTAATTAAATGTGTTTGCTAGATTGTCAGTTCATCATAGAATTTTAACTGGCACACTGGTTTAAGCTGTCATTAATTGTCGTGTAGCTAAAATGTGCTTCAAATTGGCTGTCTCTTCAAAATAACAAGGTAAAAATAAGTGACACTGATAAAGAAGTTACAAAGAGATGAAAACATTTATGATTCTGTTAAACTGTGAATAAAACCAAGTGTCATGATTTTCCTCTCATGCACAGATCTACTCCTCTCTGGAGTAAGGGAATGCATAATTGATTAGGCAACTGTCTCTCAGTTCCCTTAGTTAATTTATGATCTTAAAACATGCATTACTGTTCAGTAACAGAACTAACATATAACTCGATGACAAAGAAACCAAGTAGCCAAAATATTAATTGGAAGTAATACTCACCAGTGCACTAATGGGATGACCAATCAAGAACATGACAAAGAACATTTGTTGCCGGGCTCGGTGGCTCAGCCTGTAATCCTGTTCCTTTAGGAGGCTGAGGTGAGTGGATTGCTTGAGCCCCCGGGTTTGAGACCCACCTGGGCAACTTGGTGAGACCTCATCTCTACAATAAATAAATAAATCAGCCGGGCATGGTAACACATGCCTGTAATTCCGGCTACTTGGAAGGCTGAGGTGGAAGGATCGCCAGAGCCCAGTGGGTCGAGGCTGCAGTGGCCAGGAGTGGCCATTGTACTCCAGTCTGGGTGACAGAGTGAGACTCCAACTCAAAAAAAAAAAAAAAAAAAAAAAAAAGAAGACTTGTTTATTCAGAAATGCTGTTTTACGTGCTTTACAAGCATTACTTCATTGAATAATATCATCCAGTAAGACGGATATAACTCTCTTCCTTTTTCAGATGAGGAAATTAATCCTAGAGTGGCTAAACTCCTAGCTCCAGTTTATCTTGGTCATCTTCTAATAGGAGTCCCCTATATAAAAGATTTAGAGTGGCATGTGGCACACAGTTATGTGTGTCTTATGTGTTCACTATATAGCTGAATCTTTATATCCTGGTTTTTCTTTTAACACTATATCATGACTATTTCCCCTATCATTAAATATTCTTTCAAAATGACTCCAGTGGCTGTCATGCTTCACAGTATGAATGTTCTGTAACTTACTGTTTGACATCACAGTTATTTTTATTTTTTCACTGATATAAATAGTACAGTGAACATTCTTATGAGAAGATTAATTTTAAAATGGTAAAAATGACCAAATCTGTACTTTCAAGGGATAGACCACAGACAAGAACACGTTTGATTCTGCCAGGACATTGAGCGTTACAAAGGCAATTAGGAACGCCAGAAAAGACAAACAAATTGACCAATTGCACTCCACTTACTGTTTCAAAAAAAAATTAAAATTCTCATATTAAAAATAAGGTGTTCTATTTTGAGTTTGCATATTCATTCATGAATATATTTTTGTCAGCCATCCTAAATATCTGGCATTTTAAATTCAGTATTGGATGGATAGGATTTATTAGCTATGAAAACGTGGGAAAATTACCACATTCTTGATTCTTGAGTTTTAAAATTTGCACAGTTATTGTATAAACTGAGAAAACATTTTAAGCACCAAACACAGTGCCACGAATGTAGAAATGTTCCTTGAAAAATCTTACAGATCAGAAAATTAACAAGGACAGCACTTACAGAATTTAGATCAGCGACAAGATAAATAGTACTGTCAATAAGTGCTCTAAACATTCAAAAAAGGCATAATTAATGTGGGCTGCAGAAAGGGGCTGGTGCTTGGAAGGGAAATAGGATTTAGATGGGCAGGCAGAAAAGGATGAAAACGCTAAGGGGTGGCTTTTCGGTATGAGTAAAAGAATACGGTACTCATGGGGTCCCAAGTTGCGGACCTCTCTTGGAGCACGTGGGATGGAAGATTTGCGTCGGGGGAAGTGGGAAAACAAAGTTGAAGAGGTAGGTTGGGGCAGGTTACCGAGGACATTGATGAGCAAACCAAGGAGTTCACACTTCATTTGTGGGTTATGGGGAACCACGAACATTTTGGAGCTGTGTTGCATCAGAAAAATTGACCAGGCCACAATGAGCCACAGTTTACAGATGGAGATCAGGGAGTTCAATCTGATCCATCATAAAACAGAGGGGAGGTGAAAAAGCATTCGTTCACTCTTCTGACTCCAGCAGCAAGACTTGAGACAGAGGACCTGGAAAATGTCAATGGCCCTGTGCATCTGTGCCAGCCGCTGTGCCTCCTGTAGGGCTAGGCAGCGACTGTGGGGCTAAGCGCTCCCCTCCTGGTTGATCCTGGATGGTGTCGTTTCTGAGACGCTGAAAGCGCTGGGACGCCGCTCCTAGGGCTGAGGACTTCTGAGGAGCCTTCTTCAAGAGTCAGCAAATGTCCTCCCCTGGGAAACCGAGGTGCCACCGAAAGCACGTCAACCTGAGGCTCTGGAGTCAGGACCACTGGACTCACGCCGGCCCTGCCACGTGTTGCCGGTAGCCCTGGGCGTTTCAACTTCCGCGTTGCGTGGAAGAGGAGAGAGGTTCTTCAAGCGCCGCCGAGAGCCAGCGTGTCCGTCCGATCCCTTCGCTCTCCCTCGACGGTCATTTCTTTAACTGAGATCTCCTTCCCCCAATAACCCCGTTGATTAACATGTAACCAGCCTTTTGGTTACAATGTCAAACTAAGCCTGAACTCGAAGGAAAGAATTAAAAACAGTAGGAGTCCTCGGGACCGGGCTGGGTTAGGGCACCAGGCGGCGCGTGGGGAGGCGGGGTG